ATGGCATAATGATCGAACTGATTGTGAGACATTACGCCGCCATGTAACTGATACGAAGTCGCGTGTAATTGGTGGTGATGCGACATGCCTGTGCAACAGAGGACCGAGAATCATTGATTCAAATTCATAAATCATACGCCAAATCATACAGAGATTATCATTTAATAGTCGGCCGTTGAATTTCTAATTTACTCTGATTGTTCGTGTGCATTCGCTTGCGTGTATCGAGGATTTATCGTGATAAGAATAATATTAAATAATTGGATCTTCAAGGCGTTGCTGTTACTATTGAAAAATGAATTGCATAGAAAATTCATTTACCTGTTGCTACCTGTAGTACTTATCGGTAATAATATTATTACTTTATAGAGTTTATTATGGACTATTATCAATTTGAATTTGTCAGAAATATTGTTATTATTGAGAGATACTATTTACTTCATATACGTAGGAAATTCATTTACATGTATTTACATATGCTATATTCAATAGGTAGAACTTTCAAACGTAAAAGTAGATGATTTATTGAATAATTGAATCTATAATGGACGTTGCTGGAAGAAAAATTACATTTTTACGTATTTACGCGCGCTTATTTGTTAGTAACATTGTAACGATAATATTATTACAACAAACAACATTACAAATTACATTAAACTGATGTAATTAAAATGATATAGGTTAATCCTTTCACGCTCAATGTAGCACACAAGCAAAATTGTTTTCTAATAAGTCGCTGATTAACTAAACGATAAATGCATTGTGTTTGTATCAAGTAAAATTAATTAAACGTTACACCTTCTTTACGAAATAAATTATTTTAAGTACTACGTTAGTACTATTAAATTATACTTGATCACAGACATAAATAATTAAAAGAAAAACTTACATTGATATATCGAGTAAAATACTTTGTAAAATAATTTACATTTTATAATGTCCAATACTTTGTTATAACTGGCATTATCCAAGCGTGGACTCGAATGCCCTACGGACATCTCGCATATCACGAAAGCCGTGTGACGTTAAAGAAATGTCCCACGTCCCAACGTCAACGATTCGTCGACGGTTGGAAATTTCACGTTGAAACGACTTTTATATCAACTTCCAACTTTTTCACTGTTCAACTTTAATTCTACTAATTTCAAGTATCAGGCTTCACGACACTCGAAACCACAAAAGAAAAGATATTAAAAAAATGAAATACAAAATTCGATTGACATTGAATGACTAATTATATTAAAATATGTAGAACTTGCGTGGCAGGAGAATGTGAAATCTTCGAATGCGAAGAAAGGCTTTGGCCTTTGATTTCCAGCAGAAGTTTTCAAAGTTCTATCAGAATGGGCGTGTGGATAACGTCCCCTGTCAGTGCCATCCTGAATGAGATTGTCGGTTGTCGGTTAGTTTGCAATTTATAATGGAGAGTTTCGCGTAATTAACAGTACCTTAGCAGCGTGAATTTACATCGGGCGGGCCGTGACCCACGTGCCGAGGTCGTTGAATCTACCAGCGAGGTTTATAACACGGCAACTGCTATTGAGCAAGCGACGACGAGATCTTAATTAGTTCTTAATGTTCGTTTATCGTTCCTTCAGATTGAAAACCTAATGGCGTGCTCTGTTTTTCGATACGAGATATCCTTAACAATGGTGAGCCTGTTGTCGAACTTTCGTAACGACTGGCTATCGACATCGACCATTAATGCAAAGTAAAATAATGGAAACTCTGATAATAAAATAATTCGTTTCAGAGTTCGTTTTTTCGGAGAGTCGAGTCTCTCGATCTCTCTCTGCTACAACATTTCAAACGAATTTTTCGTACGGTCCAAACACTGTTTTATCTTCCTTTTTCCCCCCTTTTTTGCTTTCTTTTCTTTTTCGTTTTATCTTCGCACTGCGGAAAATATTTCACGCCAGAGGCGAAACGTGAAAAACCTAGTGTTTGAATGTGAAAAATCAAATGATCGATGCTTCGTGATTGAAACAATTTAGATTTATCGTTTCTTGTAATTTAGATGTTTTCCATTATTATATTGCTGAGATATGTTCTTCAACAGTATAATTACGAAGTAGTATTTGCATGATACTTTTACTCGTTGCTATTCGTTCGTCCAGTTCTCGTACAATTTTACGAATTACTTCTGCATCTTTCAATAATACCACGAACTTCCAATAAAGCGCAACGACAGTGTGCAACAATTTGTAATTACGTTTTTCTTTTTTTCGCTCGATCCCCGACAGGTTAATTCCAGTAGCAACAAACACTCTGACATTTCACGAATGGCTCTCTATTCTTACACCATCCTCTCTCCATTATCAATCATTCTGCGCTTTTAAACATTTCATACACGTAGCGTACAATACATTCTTGCCAGCCTGCAGCTAAGCCATCTGTTACCACGCATAGCTAAATCTCGTCGCGCATTCTCTACGCCTTGCCCCGGTTACTCGCGACCGGTGCTTCATCATAAATATGCGCCTGCTTCTCAATCATTCGTTATCAACGCGAAATTCCAACCTCCCGCGATATATTTAAATTATTATTATTGCTTCAGTCTCGCTGTTGCTTGTTACAAGCATAAAGCCCCCGCGGTGTTCACCTAACTCGCTACTACGTGCTCTCCTGCTCAATCACAGTCGCGGAAATTACGCGGCAGTCGTTCGTTAGGATTATAAGGGCGGCGAACTTTAACAACAACTCATAACCTTGAATGTGACGTGCACGTATACAGGAAATATGTAATACTTAGGGGGAGATGGGCTCGCGTAACTTTCGGGCAGCTGACTCTTTCGAGAGAAGCTGAATGTTGCTCTCTGTCAACAGAGTTGAACTTCCCGGTCTCGTGGAAGAGGCCGACTGGTTTCCTTGGGAATATTGCTAATTTCACTGAGTGGCTCAAACGGGACGAAATGAAACAAATCACTTCTCAGCCGAGTTTTTCTTCGAGGATTCCAGGGATTACTTAATATTTAATTTGAGATCAGCGTAACATCAGGTTTCGAAAATTCTTGTATATGTATGCAGATTAAAATACAAATGTCATCATCTTTGCATAATATTTTATTCGTCTGGAGCGAATTAATTTTAAAAATAAACACTGTGAAAAAATTGCAACCAGCTTTCGCGATTGGAATATTTGAGAAAAAACGAGCGACGAAGACCTGCTGTACGATATTAATTTCGTAACAAAAGTCAAAGTTTACAAGTCGCGTGTTACTAAGCTACGAATTTTTATGCAAAATTATGCAGAAATATGTAAAACATCCAACTCGTTGTAATATTCATTAGGCGAGACAATTAGGTTCGATCTTCTTCTTCGTCAAATTCACATATCCGCGGTCTACTTATTACTATATAATTTTAACAAACAAGTGCGAGTTTCCAAACTTGTAACGATCAAAGTATTGCAAACCAGAAGATCGATATAATTAACACGATCTAGTACGAACACCTGAGATCTAACTTGTTCTCGACATTCTGATATAGTTTCAACCCGTGGAAACAGTACCACTGAGAATTCGAAAATGTAGACTATAGTCTAGAAAATGAGTCTTAAAATTCTCACTGTATATTTAATAAAAAGAATTAATACTGTGTATACTACGCATAACAGCTACCACAGCTACTAAACGTAATTCCACTGAATGTTGAAAATTATTAGCACGAAAGTTCTCAAATGCTAAAATACAAATTTGCATCTAAAATTCAAAGAGTAGGAAAAAAAATTATAATTTATATGAACTTTTATTTATATATTAACATCAATCTTTAAAAGTTACATCATTTGTCTGTATAAAAAATTACGAATCGATGACTTCACTATTAGGCTGTTTTATACTTAGTGTGTGTAATTTAGATAAACAACTACGGTGATAAATGCATCGTGTAATAATTTCTAATGAAAACAATTGAAATCTCCAAACAAAAACGCCGGAAATTTTCTTTCCTTCTGCCGGTTCTAGTATATCTAAACTATTTTACGCTTGTGCAGTATTTTAATTTCTAAATCAGATAAAATTGTAAGAACCGAAAGTGTACTGCGTTCCGTAGATTACAATTGTCTCGAATTTCTCGCGGGGTCGTAAATTCTACTGCGATGAAATCGGGACACGTTTTAAATTGGCTTGGACGAAATTAATCATAGCGGGAACCGAGATACACAACGAGAATGCACATGTACTTCAAATCGCGTAAACAACGCGTTACATTGCCAACGACTTCTGAAACAAAGTGTAACAAATATAGAAATTTGTTCTACAACTGGAGCATCAAAAGTTCATCATAG